CAAATACAAATGGCTAACTTATCATGAGATACTAGAATTTTGTCAAGGGGAAGGTAAAATAAAATCAAGAGAAGAACTGGTAGCTGAAGGAAGTAGTTGTCAATGGTTCTCTTTCTACAGTTTTAGAAGGTTTTAAAGTAGACAAAAGAATCTATGGTTCTGAACATTGTAAGACTGAGTTTGAAATGGAATTATGTACAAATGATGAACATGTAATTGTTAAAATGTATAAACTTCTACTGAAATTTGAAACAGAAGAAGAACAAGTGAAAGAATGTATGTTAAAGGGGGCTAAAAATTTTAGTTATAATATGCAGATGGAACAATGGGAAAATACATGGTTGAAAGGACTGAAATTTACACTAGTTGTAATCTTAAAGAGAAATTTTACAAAATGATGTACCGTTGGTGTATGTCATCAGAAAAATTGTCTAGAATGTATAAAGGCACTTCAAATACATGTTGGAAATGTGAATAACAAGAAGGGACATTTTATCATGCTTGGTGGACATATAAAACAGCTAGAAAATTTTGGATTCAAATACATACACTGATTCAGAGAATGTTAAAGATTAATTGAGACCAGAGGTCTTTCTTTTGGGACTGATGGACAAACAGTTGGAAAAAAGTCATGGAACTTGTTTTTGTATATGATAACTGCAGCGAGATTATTGTATGCACAAAGATGGAAAGACTCAGCAATACCCGCAATGGAGGAATGGTTGGTGAAGATGATGGAACTCACTGAGATGGCCAGATTGATTTCTTTGACTAGAGGAAAGACAATACCTACGTTTATGGCTGACTGGAAACCCCTTATGGACTTTTGTGGAGAAAAGAAAAATGAATGTATCATTTATGGTTCTAATGATTAGACAGGACAGATTATAGAAAGAAGAGAGACATGTTGTAACTTTAGAAAAACAGGTAAATTTATCATTGTACCTATATCTGCTGTAAAGAAGATGAAAAGCCACTTCTTTGTAACTTTTTTCTTTTCTATTTTTCTTTTAGTTTTTTTCCTTTTTTGCACTTTTAGCTTTCTTTGATTTCTTTCTTTTTCTTTTTTCTTTCTTACTTTTATTAGTTTGTATCTTCTTTTAAAATTTTTTAAATACAATTATTAAGAAAACATAAAAATTATTCATGCTACCTGCCTGCAGATTTTCTCAATTCAAAATACTCCCTATGATGTCACAATTATGTAAACAATGATAGGGGCTTGATATGGAAGTAGAAAAAGTAGGTAAAAGAGTGGTGCTTAAGCTTTCCTATATTTACTATGTATTTCCTACAGTATATTCTAAATGAAAGCTTTTCCACTGGTGTTGCCTTAAGAAACAAAAATGAAAATGAATGGACATGACCCTTCAGTCACAACTTGCAATACTTGTGGCATTCTGACATTCATCGCAACAAACAATTTGTAGCAGGTGCAAATGTGCAGCAGTGCTTAAAAAAAATGAAGATAAGAAATGCAAGTAGCCAAACCAGTTCATAAGTGGAGAAGATTCATTAGTCAAAACAAAACAGACATTATAACAACAGCTGACAGAGAAAACACCTTTCCATAAGGAAGAGAAGCAAACAAAGAACCAACCCAGTGAATGAGAGTGACAATGATGATAATGATAATAATAATAATATATAGAAGATATTCTGCACTGCTGGAACTCAGCTTGGAGCCTTTTGCAGAATAAAGGGGCCTTTAGCCTTTCTGGAAGAAAAAAAAAAGACATTGTTGACCAGTACACAAGAGGATGGATCCATGAAGAAAAGAGGGATTCAACTGTGCTCTGAAGAATGCAAAGAGAAGTGCCAGAGTACAAGCTCATTACCATGAGGAACCAAAACAAATCATGGACTGGCCAGACCTGTTGGCTTGTGAAATGTGCTTTCTGCCAGGAAGATGGATGAGGGATGTGACAGTTCAACTTCTAAAGTTTACCAGTTTCAAACGTTAATCCTGCCTAGTCATCCTGCTCTTTACAGCTGGCGGAACATATATCAAGTCTGACAATTATTCTTGGTGCTAATTCAGGGGAATATAAATGATTCTGCCTTAGAGCAGCTCTAATTTCATTAACATGGACTTCAGTTGGAAAAGGACAGAGTAATACAAGTGGATGGCTGACCAACAACTGCATAGTCAACAGGAGAGATCTGTTTTTTGAGGCCATGGTTTGGGTTATCTGAATAATGGACCACAGTTGTAGGAGAAGTTGTACCACATAAGGATTGGTGAAAATGTGTCTGGCCAAAGAAAGGTAAGCTTGAGCAGAAGAGCTTTCAACTGAATCCTGTGAGAGCTGGAGATGAAATTTCAGTACGTGCGCATATATACATATACATATACATATACATATACATATACATATACATATACATATATATATAGGAAGTGTCACCAAGGAAGATTACAAACAGGTAGCCCAGAACTATAGAGGTGGGGTCAAGAAAACGAAAATAATTGGATGTTAAAAACAACAAAAAGGACTTCTTCAGATATGTTCAAAATAAAAGAACAGAAAATTCAGTGGATCAAAAGCTCAAAAGTAACAGCAAAATGCTAACAGCTAACAAAAAAAGCAATGCTCTTCAGATCAGATATTCAGGATGATATCTATTCACTAAGAAATTGTGAACAACATAATGAATGTGCAGGCTTGAGCTTGAGCAAAATCTGCTTAGGGAATACCTATGTATTTTGAATGAGTGAAATCTTCAGGACCATGTAAATTGTACAGAAAGACCTAGCTGTTGATCCATCTGAAACTTTATGTATTATTTTTGAAAAATTTTGGAGAACTGTTGAAGTGCCAGATTACTGGAGAACAAACATCCCTATTCATAAAGGAAGGGAAAAAAGATCCATGGAACTACAGACCTGTTGTCTAGCATTAATACCGGAAAAATTCTAAAGCAACTGATCTGTAAGCAACTTGAAACAATGCAATTATTACCAAAAGTCAAAAACAAGTTTTGATCTCTTTGCTACAGATACAATACTGTATATCTTGACTTAGAAAAGTATTTGATAAAGTACCATGTGACATGCTAATTAGCAAAATGACAATTAAGTGGACACACAGCTGGCTCAAACATTGTATTCAAAGAATGTTCATCATTCATTTCTCATCAAATTGGAGGGGAAGCAAGTATATCAAGGGATACCAAGAGATAAGCTATCAAAGTTACATAAAAAAGAAATATCAGGAGGTATCAAGTGGGCTTCCATAAGCATCAGTCCTGGATGCGTTACTCTTCAATATTTTCATTAATGACATAGATAAAGAGGTAAAAAGAATGCTTATTAAATTTGCAGATGACACAGAATTTTAGCTAAAATCCTAGAAAACATATATAGAATAAAAATTACCTTAGAAATGAGCTGAAAATAACAGAATGGAATTTAACAAAGACAAATATAAAATTCTTCACTTCAGGAAAATAATTCAGATGCACTGATACACCTGCCTTGGTAACAGTAATTGGAAAAAAGGTCTCGGAATCTTATTTGTTTGCAAACTGAATATAAGTCATCAATGTGAACTGGCTTCAAAATCTGCAAATGCAATTTCAAACTGGATCAACAGAGAATCATTTCTAAATCTCTAAAAGCTGATAGGTTTTCATTTTATTGTATGTTATTCTGATAGTGTCTTTAATCCCATGTCTAGTTCTGAGCATCACATTTAAAGAGGGATTCAGAGATGCTGGTACATGTTCAGAAAAGGCAGTTTCAAAAGAATTAAATCTACTGAATAGAGATTGAAGAAGCTGGGTATGTTTACTCTTGAAAACAGAAGACCAAGGAGGTGTATGTTTGCACTGCTCAAATACCTGAAAGGATGTCATGTGGGAAGATCAAGACCTATTATCTATTGTCAAAGAGTATAAGACACAGAATAATGGATTTAAGTTTAATGAAGCAGATTCCTATTCTATGTTAGACAAAATGTTGGAGCGGTAAGATCAGTTCCACAGCAGCACCAATCATTAAGAAACGTAGTAGACTCCCCTGCACTGGATATGTTCAAAGTGAGACTGGACAACCATCTGTTCTGGATTCTTTAATTTGGATTTTTGCATGAAACAGTGGTTTGGACCCAGTGGCCTAAATGGTATTTCCAGCTATATGGCTGTATCTCAACTATTTTCTCAGTAATTTGTCTACCATGGCTAGGGAAGAAGAAATATAATGGGAGGGGGAAAGATTAAAGCCTTCTTCTATATTAATTTGTGTTTCTTCTTCCTTTGGCTTCTAAATGTTCAGCCAAGATTAAAGTCTAGCTTAGCTGTTAGAAATTTTAAAGACTGCTTCTGCAATCAAAAGCCTGGCATTTAATATTACTCATCTCTGATTAGCACTTAGATCCACCCTGGAAAGATTTTGTAAATATAGCTGGCATCAATTTTAATAAGAAATTTAAAATTTGGCTTGTCATGTCATTTTCCCACTAGCATCTTCTACAGTCCTCCAACCATCGTTGTGCCAAAATAATAGCGATGAAGACAGTTTTGCATCACTTCAGCAATGGCTGAGTGTAGCTACAAATCAGCAGTGGGGAATTGGTCTCAGTCATGTCTAGTTGTTTGAAATAATGAAATAAATCTTTATGGTTCCTTCAGTCTAGGAAACTTTGTTATTTTTTTTCAGTCTGTGTAACAAAACCACATGTACATCCAAAAGTAGACTTAAGGGAAGTTACCCTTCATTTAAGAGATACTATTTTAGCTGAGCAAATTTTCTGTTAAGTTTAGAAATACTTTTATTTTTCTTTCCAGTTTGGGATACAATTATATTTTTGATGTAAGAAGGAAATCGCTATGGCCCAGCAATTTAAAAGGGTGCTCTTTGTTGGGAAATGCTGCCCCCTCCCTTCCCTAACACTTCCTATGGGTCATTTCTTCAGAATCTCTGCTGACTTGCCTGCATCTATATCCCAGCAATGTTTTCTCAACTGGCTAACCTCTCTGTTGACTTTTCAGTCCCTGCTCTCCACCCTGTTCTCCAACCCTTGATCCTAGTTTTGCTGTGATTTGCATTTTGGTTCCCACATTCCTCGTGCTGATAGACACAAGAGAAAACTGTAAGCAGGAATGATCTCCCCTTCTAAGCCAGCTTTTATAACATCAACAAAAGTGAGATGAGAAAAAAGAAATGAACAATCTTCAAACACTAACCCCAAAGCTGTTACTCTTGAGGGATGCGTTTTCAATGTTGTTGTCATTGGCGAGATCACAGACGCAGAAGTTGTTAACCGATATGAGCCGGTAGCCGTTTGAGGTACCAAAATCCCTCTCTGGGTTGATGCCACTACCAAAGACAAAACTTGCCAGAGCGTGATAATGTGCCAAAAGGACCACAGCATGCACCAGTTCAGGAAGAGACCAATTATTTTCCCCTGTCTTAACAAGTTTCTGAAACAAAACAAAGGGAAAAAACAGTACATATGTGAATTTATGTTAGATATAGGCACAGGAAACTGGCAGAATATGTTTTCCTCTGTTGAATTTTAATTTCTGAGTTGGAAGCAGCAAAACCAAAGCATGCCAGAAGGCCTTCTAGCCTAATCTCCTTGAATCATTGCAGCACAATTCAGAGATCCTGAGGTTTTTCCAACCTTTCTACTGCAAAATATAAATCAAAGGGGGAAGAACAAGACTCTTTAGCATTTAACCAGGACTGTAATTAGATGCTTTGATATCTCAGGCAGATTCTTTTTTAAATAAAAAAGCTCAGTGCCTGCTGTCTCCCCAACTTTGAGCAAAAATGATGATTGCAAATGTCAAACATTGCATGTTGGCTATGTCCCACACGGAACATTTATAGATAAAGGTTCCCCGGCTACATTTGCTCCACAGTCAGAATCCTTCCAAAGGTGATAGGATTTTTTTAATGTGAAAGGGAAGCATTGTAAATAAAAAGGCAACAGTCATAATAAGTAGATTTAACTCATTTAATTTAAAGTGATTACCTTTAAAAGTAAATTAATTTAAATCAAGATTGATTTTATTCTGGCCTTGCCACTTACTGGAGTCTTGCCCCTAGTGTGCCATTGAAAGGGCAAGGGTGGCCTCAGTCTTGCGCATGCCTGCTTTAAGGTATTTTACAGTTTAATCATCCGGCTATTTCAAGTGGAACAGCAGGAAGGCAAGCTATAGCTGCTCTCTGCCTGTAAATGTGAGGTACCCAGTTCTCTTCTGAGAAAGTCAAAAGCATAAACACCTTTCTCTTTTAGCTCTGTCTTGCTCCCTGTACAAGGGGCAACTTATTGCTTTCCATGCATTACAACATGACTTAGATATGCAAGAAGGAGTTTCAATAGGTGCAGCTTTGCTCACCTGGATGCCAAACCATGCCTGCAAATCTCTTCCTCCTTTGAAAGGAAATAAACAAACACACTCCCCAATGGCCTGACAGATCTTTTAATAACAACGCCCCCAAACCCCTCAACCAAACAGGAAAAACAGCTTTAGGAGGAGGCATTGACAGGAGAGATGCCCCCTCTATAAATGCTTCTTCTGACTGCTTTTCTGTTCCTTGACTTGGTGACAACTTCTGATTTACAGAAAGATGCCACAGAGCTCAAGTTCCAAAGAAAGTTGTAAGGAGATCCTATTCCCATCAAATCCTAGCAAAAGCTATGATTTTGGCACATGCAAAAGCTTGAACATCTGGCTTGCCCTCTCCAGCCAATTCTAAAAAAATACCTGAATGTGCTCTTTGGAAACCAGCCAAGGTCGGTGTGCAAGCAGCTTGTTGATTTCGTTCAGATTTTTCAGCCTTTGAGGAATGTACTCTAAGCCATTCAGCCATTCTGGTATCCCTCCAGTCTTCAGAAACTCTTCCACATGTGTATTTATTAGGTAGGAACATTGGTGCCTGGCAGCAGCCTAAAGATAAAACCCAAAGAGGCAGATGGGCTGCAATGGTGGCTAACCAACAGCTGCCTGTCCCTCTTATGGTAAGAGATGGAAAATATGTAGGCAGATGTAAGAGAAAAAATAGCTTTACAGCAGGGAAGAGAGAACCCTGCATTCAAGTGTTTCCACAACAAAAACTTACAAGAAATTTCACTGCAACTGTTTTAACAAAAAGGAAGATGTGTGAACTATAAATATATTGTTTATGCAGAACATGAGTGCGGCCAAACCTGAAACAGCTAAAGTCATGTGTACCCCCTACATGAATATACTGGAGAAGAAATGAACTCTGCCATAACAATCATGACAGAGAGCTGTAAGTTTAGAAGCCATTTGTTCAAATCTTGCTTTTCCCATGAATTCATTGTGGCTTTCAGAAAACTGCTATTATCCAGCCATACCCCTCCCAACACCACTACTGGAAAAAATCTTTATGAATGCTGAAAATATTGTATTTTAGCTACTGCAAAATTTGGTTTCTGAAAACTATAGATTATAGTTTTAATTGATTCCAAGTGCAGAATTCAGAGCACTTATGTGGCTGTATATCTCACACAGTGATCCTAGGTGGCTCACAACAATCTCATTTTGAGTGAACAAAGCATATACTCCCTGTAAATTGTTAGAGTGAAGAAACTCCATCTATGGCTGTAGACCAGGTATATAGTGATTGTAACTATAGGCTGAATTCATAATCCTTTCAGTTAATATTTTCATTTCAGGACCTCAGGTCCAGCAGCTAGATTTCCAGCTCTTAAAGGAAAAGATCAACTCGATTTGGGTGATGCTGTTATCCCCTCTTAGTTCAGAAGAAGGCGACACTTGCTCTAACTTACAACAGTCGTGGAAAATATACTAATGAAATTATGACAGGAGATGAATCAAGAAGAGGTAGACTTCTTTAGGGCTTACCATGATTGCTATGTAGTGCCGGTAGGGCAAAGGAAGAGGACCATCCACACGCAACATGTAAAATTGACTGCGAAGAAAAGACTCCAGGTACTGAGTGTGTAAACTCATGACCTGAGTGATGTTGTCCAGGTGACCAGACATAGAATATTCTTCCACAAGCAGATGCATACGTTCATTCAAACTATTGGCTTGCATAACCTTTGGAGAAAGTTCAAAAGCAAGGAAGACATTATTAATTTGATTTAATTTTATAGCCTATAAATAATTATTCCAAGACACGCTTTAAGGAGAAGCATGTGTGGTAGTTTAAACAAGATTTAGTTAAAGAGTTTAAAAAATATATATTATTATCCCAAAAGTAATTAAAAAACCAAAAACAAATCATACATAGAATAGCAGCCATAGTATGATAGAATTTCAGGTGCACCAAAGGCCATCTGAAGAAACACAGTAGTTTATCCTATGACGTTTAGCATAATGCTAAACTAAGATTTGTTGAACAAAGCTAGTGTCAGTCCTGCAGATAAATAATCTGTTTGTTCTTCTAGCTTTTTTGCTAATACCAGAAGAAGTGGGTAGAGCAAAGAACAAATATGAGCCAGAATTCTAAGTTCAGATACAGCAAAATAAAATACGACAGGATTTGTAAATCAAAAGCCATAGATTGAAATTGCCAGAGTCCCTATGGTTCTTTTTAGAATCAGTCTATGCTGCCATAAGTAAACAACTACATTATGGCTTACATTATGTGAGAACCAAACAGAATTCAAATCCATCAGTGAAGTGGCCAGACAGGTTTTCCCTAGCCATTCCATCATTCCTAAGCCACTGCTAAGAAACTACTGCTCTGTTTCTGTCTTCCCACATTCTGACTACTTACCTGCAGTTTTATTGTAATTTTTCCTTAACAAACCAAAAAAACTTATTTTAACAGTGCCATGTGCTTGCATTGCATAATTTGGGAGATTCCTGTGCAGCTTTGTTGTTGTTGTTGTTTAGTCGTTAAGTCGTGTCCGACTCTTCGTGACCCCATGAACCATATTGCGCCAGGCCTTCCTGTCCTTCACTGCCTCCCTGAGTTTGCTCAGTTTCATGCT